GGGAGGCTGTGGATCAGGTCCCCGGTGTTGGGGAGGCTGTGGATCAGATCCTCGGTGTTGGGGAGGTTGTGGATAAGGTCCCCGGTGTTGGGGAGGCTGTGGATCAGATCCTCGGTGTTGGGGAGGTTGTGGATTAGGTCCCCGGTGTTGGGGAGGCTGTGGATCAGGTCCCCGGTGTTTTGGATCAGGTCCCCAGTGTTGGGGAGGTTGTGGATCACGTTCTCGGTGTTTTGTATCAGTTCCCCGGTGGTGGGAAGGTTGTGGATCAGGCACAAAAACAGAAATTGCTGGAAAAGCTCAGCAGGTCTTGCAGCATCTGTGAGGAAAAAAAACATAGTTAACTTTTCGGGTCCAGTGACCCTACCACAGAACTGGATCAGACCTGGAATAGGTGGGGAGGTTGTGGATCACTTCATTCTTCGCTTCAAGTGCCCTCGTCACCCCCCTCTTTGACTGTTCCTCCTTGTCACCCTCTTCCTTTCCCCTCCCAGTCTTTCTCTTCTCTCCGTGCCCACTCCCATTTCCCTTAAACCTTTGCCATTATCCCCTACCCAACCTGCATCCCCTCCCTGCTCTCCGATTCTAAACAGCCTGTTTTTCTGGACGTTTGTATCAATCCGACAAAGTGAAAACTGAGAAGGAGACAGTATCTGTCGGAATTTGCTGGTATGCTTTGTTGGGTTAGTTGCCACTACCTCACTCATATTGTTGAACCCTTTCTAAGATGTATCAAGCATGCTTTTAGTGATAATTGCAGTATGTACTGATCACACCATTTAGATTGGAACAACAACAATCACATTTTTGATCACTGAGAAAAGTTACAAGTGTAAAGTTTTGCTGGTGTTGCAGCTGGCAATGCAACTGGATTCTCTGCTGAAACCTTCTGATATTTTCTGTTTAGTGGAAGTACATGTTAGCTTTTTGGATGCAGGTAGTATTCCCTCTGAATGTTATATTTAGGCAAGATGGTTCTCCCTAAGAAGGGATAAATTAGTTTTTCTGCAGTGTCTTTCACACTCTCAGCTGGTCCCTTAATAAGGCACAACCAATTAATTACTTATGAAATTTGTAGAATCTTTATTTGGTTGGCAAAACAGCAGCAAAATATTGTTGGAAGAATAAATATTTGACCAAGAAACCGAAGAGATCCTTCCTGTTGAATATTCGGTTGTTGAATTCTGATTTTATCCATCCGCCTGCAAGAGCAGTAGGTATTTTGCTGTAATGTGTTACCTGATAGTTCACACATCATTCAGTGTAGCACTCCCTCTGTTCTGCTCAGGTAGTCCAGATCATGGTATGGCACTTGAGCTCTCAACCTTCTTAATTTGATGCTACCATGTCTAGCTGATACTAATATTATTCTATTGCTGTATTTCTGGATTCATGCTAATAAACCATGTGCCTTTTGAGTACCGGAAGGAGTTGCACTCTGCTGTGTGTGATAATGTTGAACAGGGCTGGAGATTAAAAGCACTCTTATTTTACCCTGTTGGATCTGCTGCTACTTATTACTAACGGACTGTGCTGCCAGTCTAGTGCTGATGTAATAATTTACAAATTGCTAGTGAAGGATCAGATGAGATTAAATGAGGGCCTACATGATCTTGATGCTGGTTTGTGTAAGACTTGCCAGTTTTCAGTGGTCTTTCAGTTATCTGATGTTTTTGAATAGTTATTAATTGAATAAACCAATGGTGCTGTGAACAGTTTAGCAATCTTTGTCTTTTTGCTCATAATTTCTCTTCGTAAAATTTACCTAACATTTCCCTGAATATGAAGTTAATGCTCTTAAGACAAGCAGCTTTATTTGCACAACATTAATCTGTTCATCTGTTTGTTCTTGCTGGCTGACTGCTAATTTTGACAGTGATTTCATTGTGCATACCTTATGAAGACTGCAGCAATACAGATAGTGGGTTACAAAGAATGGATTGCTAACATTTTCAGCTTTCTTGTTTGTTTGTGTCTTTACTATTGTTGCTTTGGAGCAGCTTATCAGAGGATAGCACCTTGAATATGACTTCATCCTTCAGTTTAACTGTATAACAGTTTGGCAACTAATTGGAGCACACTTGCTCCATTTTTGTTGCGCTGCAAGGCAAAGATAACAACAGGAAGTTGTTTTGTTATGATCAAGTTAGGAGTTGGCGGGGGGGTCCTTTTCTTGACCTAATTGTAAGTAGATCACATGGCATATAGCTCAGGATCAGAAACACAATAGTTGTACGTAATCAATGAATAACTAGTTTGTTGCAAACAAAACATTTTCGAACAAAGAAGGCACGTTTGTGCAAATATATTGAAACACTCTTCTTGAAAACTAACACATGCACACCATTGTCTCAATCTGGAGAAAAATATTTTTTTTAAAAACTCCAGATGACTATTGTCTTCAAAGTAATTTTGCCAAATAGGTTGCATTCAGAAAAAAGAATCATTCACAGATTGTCTAAATGCTGGCCTGTAACTAAAGTCACTTTTTGTGCAAGTTGTTGGAGTGTCTTCCTGGCTTGGTATGGGAGGCTGAGTCACTTTTCTGGAGATAGTGGTGTAGATTTTGTGTTCTCTGTTAGAAACTCTCAAGTTGCATTGATGAAGCGTTCCAGTGGATTTTTACTTCAAACACTTTGAAAGGGGAGATTTTAGAAAAATGAGTGACAAGGTGTGTAGCTCCATGTAAGTTGGTTCTGTGTCTGTTACAGCTTTATTACAGCCATAGACTGGGTTGTGTGGCCTCTCTCTCAAAACAGTTTCAACTCGGTGATTCCAGTTGAGCAGCTTGTGTTCTTTATAAGTGCAATGTTTTCACCTGTGAGCAGTCAATGCAACCTGGAAATAGGATCAGAGTCCTGAAATGGAGTACAGCAGCAGAGTAATGGAGCTTAGAGCAGGGCTCCAGAGCACAACTACTTGCAAGTTTAGAACAACAGCCTTGTCTAAACAGTTCTCTCAATGTTCCATTGATTTCTGATAGATTAATATGAATTTCCCTACTTTTTAACCATTCCTAAAAAACTTTGCAGCACTATTATATGTTTTGGTCACAAGAAGCCTCTAAACACCTTCATTTTAATGATTAACTTTGTGGGAAGGACAAAGTAAGTGTAAATAACGGGAACAAAGACTTGGGAAATGTAGAGAAATGGTTTAACAACGTGAGTCGAAGACATTCTGATTAATTATGTAAAATCACATGGAGGAGACTGTTTGAGCATATGTACATCTGTGACTGTAAATAAAAGGTTATTAGTGAAATGTAGATTACTGCAGAATGATTTGAGAGACAATCAGACCCGCGATCACCCCAACCAGATGATGAAACCCTCGCAGACAACTACATTGCTTTTACTGTACATTATTTATTACTGTATTTGAACGCAGTTTCCAGTTGGCAAGTTGAAATTTATTATTTCCATCAAAGAGGGCAGTTAGTTGTAGAGCTCTGAAACTAAAACAGAAATAGCTGGAGGAACTGAGCAGGTCTGGCAGCATGTGTGGAGAGAAAAACAGAATTAATATTTCAAGTCCAGTGACTCTTCATCAGAACTGAAAGCAACTGGAAAGGATGGTATTGTTGCTGATGACAGTGAGTGAGTTTAGTAGAGCAAATTACTGCAGATGCTGGAATCTGTACCGAAAACAAAAAGTGCTGAAATCACAGTAGGTCAGACAGCATCCATGGAGAGACAGCAAGCCAACATTTCGAGTCTAGATGACTCGATGAAGAATCGTCTAGACTCGAAACGTTAACTTGCTTTATCTCCATGGATGCTGCCTAACCCACAGCGATTTCCAGCATTTTTTTGTTTTCAGTGAGTTTGGTGGGGTGTGGGGATGAGTGAATAGAATACGTGGAGACGGTGCTGGAAGAGAGAAACAAAGGGAGAGGCAAACAAAGGGATCGCTGATGACATTGCTGAGAGGGAGTTAACAGTGAGTAGGGTGCTAACAAGAAGTGTGAATAGTTGAAAATTTGTTAGTAGGACCCTCAGCCATGTCTGACCCATTTCCCACACTTCTGCTCTCACTCTTCCCTTCCCTCCCACAATAATGATAGGGGCTCCTAGTCCTCACATTCCCCACCAAACTCTGCGTGCAAAGGATCATGAGCTGTTATTTCTGCGACCTCCAATGGGATGCCACTATCAGACACACATTCCCCTCCCTTGTCGGTATTGTGCAGAGACAGCTGTCTCCGGAATACCCTGCTTCACCCCTCCTTCATTCCCAACATCTTCCCACATTCCCACGGCACCTTGCCATGCCATCACAGATGCTTTATCATTTGCCTGTTTACCTTCTCCTTCCTCACTATGCAAGGCCTCTGACCCACCTTCCAGCGGAAACCGTGATTTACCTGCTGTTCATTCAATCTAGTCTATTATATTTGCTCCCCCCATGCGATCTCCTCTACATTGAGGAAACAAAACGGAGACTGAGTGCCCACTTTGCAGAATACTCATGTCTGTCTGCAAAAGTGACCCCAAACTTCTGGTTGCTGTTACTTCAACACACCGCTGTGTTCCCATGCCAACATTTCTGTCTCAGGCCTGTTGCAGTGCTCCAGCAAGGCTCAGTACAAGCTGGAGGAATAACACCTCATCTATCAGCTAGGTACCTTACAGCATTCAGGACTCAACACTGTATTTAACAATTTCAGAACATGAACACCCTTCTCTATATTTGTTACCTACTCCCCAGACTTCT